GCCTCCTCAACCCCATGGGCACGAGACCCAGACTGATCAGCCTGAGTCTTTCAGTGGGGTACATGATGGAAGCTAAGCATGATGGTCTCACCACATGAGGGCATGGGCCGTAAGGATCTTGTAAGACTAGAACTACAAAAAGCTCTCTTCCGCAAGTGAGAAAGCCCACGTAGGAATAATGCTAACACAAAAGAAAGCCAGACAAAAACTGTTTTAAAGAGAGTTCTAATGAGATTATTTTAATTCCCAGATCCAGCTGTGCCTATAGCCAATGCTCCCTCCTCATTTTTAGTTATATGAACCAATACATTTCCTTTTCTACTTAAATTTAAGTGACCAGGAATCATTTACTCCTAATATGTGATATTTTCCAAGGCTGCAACTATAGTCCATTCAAGAATACTCTACTTAGTAGGGAGAACTCATTTTTATAAATAGCAATATTAATGGAATCAGTACAATTAAGGCCACCATATCGTTAAAACACAGTTACTAATGTCGCTACATTGAAGTTGTTTTCCTTCATAATACCTGAAGTGTTGGCATGCCTCCAGGCCAAGCTTCTTTCAACTTTGTTCATTCACATACAGTTGTGAGTCATTTCTTCTCAGGCTACAGGAACTTTTATGGTACCTTTCATTATGTTGGAAGTCTGCGATCAATCTCTACTTACCAGCTGATCAGTTATCTGAAGCTGTTTCCCTGGCTCAAACCACTATAAAATACCCAATTTAACATGCAAAATAGTATTTCTGTTTAGTCCTCATACAGTAACTTTAATCTTAACCCTTGTACACCTGTGATAAGGCGCTATATCTGTAATGAAATTTCTTCCATATTTAATGTAATCCAGTTTCTAGCTAATACTGGGCTTCAAAATGCCAAACCTCCTAGAAATTATTATATGAATAAAAATGTATCCGCTGGCCAGAGACTGGAGTCTTCGCACTCTTATTACATCCCAAAGACCCGGATTTTGCTGCATCCTTATTTGACCATGTCTCTGAACACAAACTAGGGATACTATGTTAACAGAGACAAAATGTATTCAGGGTTATGTCATACAATACACCTGCCAAAACAACACACCTGGGGATACTGCTGGAGAACTATCAAATCTATGCCCAATTCCTTACTAATACCTTGTTAGTTAAAACCTAATAATTCCTTTTTTGAAATATGCTAGTGGGTCATGACATTACAATTTTTTGTTATTATAAATAATGCTGCAATGAATACTTTTGCACATAAATCCTTGAGCACTTGTAAAATAATCTGATTACTAGAAATCCAATTGCTAAGTAGGTACAGACAGATTATCTTCCCAAAACATTACATCAATTTATATCTTGGCTCTGGCTGGTGTAGCTCAGTAGCCTGAGCTCCAGCCTATGAACCTAGAGGTTGCTGGTTCGATTCCCTGTTAAGGCACATGCCTAGGTTTCGGGCCAGGTCCCCAGTTGCCTGGGGACACCTGGGGACACCTCAAGAGGCAACCACATTTGATGTTTCTCTCCTTCTCTTTCTCTCCTTCTTCCCCTCTCTACAAATAAATAAATAAAATCCTTAAAAAAAAATAATATTGAGCCCTGGACAGGTGGCTCAGTTTGTTCATTCCTAAATTAGGGCACATGCCTAGGCTGCAAGTTCAGTCCCTGGAAGGGGTACGTTTGGGAGGCAGCTAATTGAGGCTTCTCTCTCACATTGATGTCTCTCTCTCTCTCTGTCAAATCAATAAATATATCCTTGGATGAAGATTAAAAATATTTTTAAAAATTTTAAAATTATTTTTAAGATTAATTAATTGTTCATTTATTTATTTATAGAGAAGGGAAGGGAGGGAGAAAGACAGGGAAACATTGATGTGTGAGAGAAACATTGATCAGTTGCCTCTCACATGCCCCCAGCCGGGGACCTGGCCTGCAACCCAGGCATGTGCCCTGACTGGGAATCAAACAAGTAACCTTTGGATTTTCCAGACGACGCTCAACCAATTAAGCCACACTGGTCAGGGATGGGTGTGTGTGTGTGTGTGTGTGTGTGTGTGTTTTCTTTTGTAAGTATACCATGAAAACACTAATTGTAAGAGAGCTGGAATGGTTATGTTAAATATCAGACAAAGTAATACCAGAGCTGGAAAGGCACTTTATAATGATAACAGAATTAATTCATCAAGAAAATATAACAACCAAAAGTATCTATGCACCTAATAACAGAGCTTCAAAAGACATGACGCAAAAAGTGGCATCTACCATGCACGGAGCTCGCAGGACGGGAAGTTGCTCTGGGTGAGTCAGTGAGAGTAGTGAGTGAATGTGATGACTTAGAACATTAGTGTACACTGTAAACACTGTACATTTAGGCTACTCTAAATTTTGTAAAAAAAAAACATACAAGATTAAATCAAGCACAAGAGAAAATGATACAATCAAGAGACATAGTAGCCCTGGCCAGTATGGCTCAGTTGGTTGGAGTTGTCCACAAACCAGAGGTTAGTGGTTCAATTCCTGGTCAGGACACATACCCAGATAGCAGGTTCAATCCCTGGTTGGGAGTGTATGAGAGGCAACTGATAGGTGTTTCTCTCTCACATCAATGTTTCACTGCCTCTTTCTCTCCCTCCCTTCTCCTCTCTCTAAATCAGTAAGCATGTCCTCAGGTAAAGATTAAAATAAAAAGAGAGAGACACATACAGCAAATCCAAGATCTATATGGCTGCTGCCTGCATAGCACAACACACTCTTTGACTTTTTTTTTAATAACTAGAAACAGTATACTCTGAAATAATGATAGGCCCTGGACACATAGTTCAGTTGGTTAGAGCATCATCCCAGTATGTCAAGGTTGCAGGTTCTATCCCCAGTCAGCGCAGATACAAGACTCAACCAATTAATGCATAAATAAGTTGAACAACAAATTGATCTCTCTCTCTCTCATTCTCTCTCTCCCCCCCTTCCTTTTTTCCTAAAATCAATAAACAGATCCTTGGGTGACAATTTCTTTAAAAAAATTTTTAAAAAGTAAGAATATGTATACATATTTAACAAAGAAAAAAATAAGTAGAAACTCTGGAAGGATGAACAAAAAAGTGGTTGTCAATTGAGGTCAGATGGCTGCTGGGAGACAGGAGACAAGGATGGGAGACAAATTATTTTTTTTTAATTGTTTTAAATTGATTAGAGAGAGAGAAACATCGATTTGTTGCTCCATTTCTTGATGTATTCATTGGTTGCTTCTTGTATGTTCTCTGATCGGACATGGAACCCACAACCTTGGTGTGCTGGAAGGATGCTTTAATGAACTAAGCTACCCAGCCAGGGCAACAAATTTTACATTGCATACTTTAAAATATTTTTTGAGTTTTGAGTCATAATACATTAAAAAATAAAAATTTTTAATGTTTGTCTAATAAGTGGGCAAAATATTAACAATCAGCCTCACATTTAGCCAGATGTAGGCTGTAAACGAAGATTAAGATGTGATAACATTCTGCCCTGGCTGGTGGCTCAGTGGATTGAAAACCAGCCTGTGAATCAAAGGGTCCCCAGTTCGATTCCCAGTCAGGGCACATGCCTGGGTTGCGGGCCAGGTCCCTAGCACACAGCAGCAGGGGAGGGGGTGGCGAGAGGCAACCACACACTGATGTTTCTCTCCCTCTTTCTCCCTCCTTTCCCCTCTAAAAATGGATGAATAAACTCTTAAAAAAAAGATATGATGCTATTCTGAGTAATGATATTCTGTGTCTTTAGTTAAATTAAGATTTACCTGCTGCATGAACAAGTGACATATTAATATTCCACTATGGAAAGTCAAGAGGTTGGACTTCTTGGGAAAGAGAACACCAAGCAAGCTACTTCAAAGTGACAAAACAGCTACTCTATCCAAGTGTCGGTCTAGTTAATGGTCTGAACCTGGTGATTATGGCAGGAATGGAAAGAAAAGATGCAAAAGATTTGTATGGGAAATAAATCCATAAGTCATAATGGCTGATTGGCTGTGGAAAGCTAAAGGGACACTGATTTTCTTTAAAGATTTTATTTATTTTAGAGAAAGGGGAAAGTAGGGAGAAAGAGGGCGAGAAATACCAGTGTAAGAGAGAAACATTGATCATTTGTCTTTTGCATGTACCCCAAACAGGGACCAGGCCCACAGCCCACGCATTTGCCCTGACCAGGAATCAAATCAGCGACCTTTCACTTTGTGGGACGACATCCAATCAACTGAGCCACGCTGGTCAGGGCGAGACACAGTGATTTTTAAAACCTAGGTGCTTAGTAGTATCCCTATCAGAAATTAGAAAGACAGGAGAAAAAACTGGTTTAGAGGCATGACTTTGGTTCGAAATAGACTGTGTTTGAGGAGAGTGGGAAATCGGGTAAAGCTGGCCAGAGGACCGCTGAAAATGCTGGTCTGAAGTCCAGAGAGGAAGTCGGACTTGAAGACAGAGATGTGGGAGATATCTGGGAGAAGAGATGAAGGGGCTCAGAGGAAACAGGGGCTGTGGTGGGTAGTCTTATTACCCCTAGGAAAGGGGTAATTCTACAGAAAAGGGTATTAACCCAGACAGCGACCCCCAAGGGGCAGGCTGTAACTACTGAGCTACACTCCTTTACCACTGAGGGCGGGGAGCAGGCAGCGGAAGGTCCAAGTGCTGACAGTTGTTCTACCACTGCATCAGCTGTATGTCCACGGACAAGTAACTTTACCTTTCTAGGTTTATTCCCTTCTCTGCAAATTGAGGGGACTGACCTAGATACTCTCCAGCCCCATGTAATATTAAAAACGTAATTGAATAAGTTTCTTAATTCAAAATATTGAATTAAAAACTTAGCAATAAGCAAACAGGGAGACCTGGCCAGAAGATGCAAATGTTGAATGTTTTATGCATTGCATTTTCAAGCAATAAATCCATTCTCTGATTCATAAAATCTATAATTGCAAAGTCATACTTTTTATCTATTTAAGTTAGGCATAATATCAAGAATTAAAATTTTTCCTACCTGGAAATTTACAAATGCTGCCCACGAAATCCTGCTAAGTCACTTGAATAAAGTAAAAAAGGGAAGATTCCAAGTCAAACAGAGTCTCTGTATGAAGGATTGCCCTGCAGAGAGAAAATAATCATTTATAATGTATTTTTGTAATGAGATTTAAACATCTGCTAAGATACATAATAAGTTTTTATTTAAATAAATTATGTGGGAGCACCTATCAGATATCATTTTTAACATGTAAAAATAGATAATCTGGCACAGATTATTGGTGAGAAATTTATGTATTACCTGAACCTTAATATATAAATCTGTAAGATTTCTAATATTATGATATATTATGGCAAATTGAAAGCAAACATACTTTTTAACTTTAACAATAAAATAAACTTAAGAAAACATCTAGTCAAAGGCAGGCCAGCAGATGAGATACGAAGACAGCAACTTGTGTCCTATTACCCTTTTCCTGCATGTGACACAGATATGATTTGCAAGAAGACCAAACAGAATAGCATTCAAGACTCAACTTGAAAACTTCAACTTAAAAACTGTATGGTTAAGAGAGAAGTGGGGGAAAATGCTGCGACTAAGGTTCAGAAAGTCCCACTGCAGTCACCCAGATCTTTTACATCTCTTACCTGACTTGCCAGAATGTACAAGACTACACCGCAGCTTCTAACAGCAGCTGTGACAACTCTAGCTACAAGAAAGTTGCAGTTTTGCCCTGGCTGGTGTGGTTCAGTGGACTGAGAGCCAGCCTGCAAACGGAAAGGCTTCAGGTTCAATTCCTAGTCTGGGTTGTGGCCCAGGTCGCCAGGTGGGGGCATTTGAGAGGCAACTGATCAAAGTTTCTTTTTCTCCCTCCCTTCCTCTCCCTCTGAAAATAAGTAAATAATCTCTCTCTCTCTATACACACACACAAACACACACATAAAAGCTTCAGTTTCTACTATATTCCAGACAGTTTTAATTACCACTCTAACAACAAAATCTGTCCCACTAGTTTCTTCATTGACTATGAATTTTATTAATGTAGAGTGGTAAGGCTTTATGTCCATAGGCAGTGGGAAAATGAATTTGATGCTTTTAAAACCAACCAATTGCGTAGCTCAGTGGATTGAGCGCGGGCTGCGAACCAAAGTGTTGCAGGTTCGATTCCCAGTCAGGGTACATGCCTGGGTTGCAGGCCACGGCCCCCAGCAACCACACATTGATGTTTCTCTCTCTCTCTCTTTCTCCCTCTCTAAAAATAAATAAATAAAAAATCTTAAAAAAAAACAACAACAATTAAGCTGCCTACTGCCATACCACCCTGAACACACCCAATCTCATATAATCTCGGAAGCTAAGCAGGGTCAAGCCTGGTTAGTACTTGGATGGGAGACCAATCAATTAAGCTAAGAATTCCCATCAAAATAATTTTGACTAAATCAATGAAATTATTTTTTTAAATAATATGTGTGTTTTTAGTATAAAAGTATTATACAGTTACAGAAAATTTAGAATATACAAGCAAGTATAAAGAAGAAAACATACGCATCAAGTACCCACTCATGAGGAGGTCTGAATTCTGGAAATTTAAACCATCCCAAACACTGCTGACCTAGAGGTTTACAAAAACATTTTTTTGTTACATCAAACTAAAAAGTTTTTGCACAGCAAAGGAAACCATCAACAAAATGAAAAGGCAACCTACTGAATGGGAGAATATACTGGCCAGACTTCTGGCCAAGATGGGGGGGTAGGTAGATACACTGTGCCTCCTTGCACAACCAAATCAAGGACGACAAAAATTTAGAAACAGAAAAAGCAACCAGAACTGACAGAAAATTGAACTGTACGGAAGTCCGACAACCAAGGAGTTAGACACATTCAACCAGTCTGGTAGGAGGGGCGGAGTTGGGCGCCAGGCGGAATCGGGCCCTGGGCAGAGAGGGGTCACAGGAAAAAAAAAAAAAAAAAGCGGTGGCTTGCGGACCCCGGCACACAAGGCAGTGGCTGACAGACCAGACACACAGGCGGTGGCTGGCAGACCCAGTGAGGTGCGCAGGGCAACTGGCTGACCAAGTGGTCCCACATTCTCGCACAGACAAACCAGGCGAAGCAGCAGAGTGAGACAGACCGCGAAACCCTGGGCCCCAGCGAGGGGAAATAAAGTCCCAAAACACCAACTGAAAATACCTGTGGGGGTTGAGGCAGCGAGAGAGACTCCCAGTCACACACAGGAGTTCGTTGGAGAGATCCACAGTGTCCTAGAATGTGCACAAGCCCACCCACACAGGAATCAGCACCAGGAGGGCCCAGTTTGCTTGGGGGAAACGGTGGAAGGGACTGAAATTCAACTGAGAGCAGAGCAAGTGCCACTGTTCCCTCTCGGACCCTGCCCCCACATATAGCATCACAACCCAGCGCCTGGGTTGCCCCGCACTGGTGAACACCTAAGGCTCCGCCCCACATATGTAACAGGTGTGACAAGACCAAAAAAAAAAGGCCCAAATGGAAGAATAGATCAAAGACCCAGAGCAAATACTTTCAAGCGATGAAGAGATAAACAACCTATGAGATGCGCAGTTCAAAACACTGGTGGTCAGGACGCTCACAGAATTGGCTAACTTTGGTCGCAAATTAGATGAGAAAAATGAAGGCTACACTAAGTGAAATGAAGGAAAACACACAGGGAACCAATAGTGATGGGAAGGAAACAGGGACTCAAATCAATGGAGTGGACCAGAAGGAAGAAAGAAAAAACCAAACAGAAAAGAATGAAGAAACAAGAATTTTAAAAAATGAGGAGAGGCTTAGGAACATCCAGGACATCTTTAAAAGTTCCAACATCCAAATTATAGAGGTACCAGAAGGGGAAGAGGAAGAGCAACAAGTGGAAAAGTTATTTGAACAAATAAAGGAGAACTTCCCCAAGCTGGCAAAGGAAATAGACTTCCAGGAAGTCCAGGAAGTTCAGAGAGTCCCAAAGAAGTTGGACCCAAGGAGGAACACACCAAGGCACATCATAATTACATTACCCAAGATTAAAATGAAGGAGAGAATTCTAGAAGCAGCAAGAGATAAGGGGACAGTCACCTACAAAGGAGTTCCCATCGGACTGTCAGCTGATTTCTCAAAAGAGACCTTACAGGCAAGAAGGAGCTGGAAAGAAGTATTCCCAGTCATGAAAGGCAAGAACCCACATCCAAGATTGCTCTATCCAGCAAAGCTTTCATTTAGAATGGAAGAGCAGATAAAGTGCTTCTCAGATAAGGTCAAGTTAAAGGAGTTCATCATCACCAAGCCCTTATTATATGAAATGTTAAAGGGACTTATCTAAGAAAAAGAAGATAAAAAAACATGTATAGTAAAATGACAGCAAACTCACAATTATTAACAACCACACCTAAAGCAAAACCAAAAACAAACTAAGCAAACAACTAGAACAGGAACAGAACCACAGAAATGGAGATCACATGGAGGGTTAGCAACAGGGGAGTGAGAGGAGGAGAGGGGGGAAAAGGTACAGAGAATAAGTAGCATAGATGGTAGGTAGAAAATAGACAGGGGGAGGGCAAGAATAGTATGGGAAATGTAGAAGCTAAAGAACTTATGACACATGGACATGAACTAAAGTGGGCGAATGTGGGTGGGAGAGGGTGTGCAGGGTGGAGGGGAATGAAGGGGGTATATAACAACTGCAATAGCATAATCAATAAAATAAAGTTAAATTAAAAAAAGAACGTACTAGCCAATTATATATCTGATAAAGGGTTAATGTCCAAAATTTATAAAGAACTTACGAAACTCAACACACACACACACACACACATACACACAAACCAATCCAATTAAAAAATGGGCAAAGGACCTGAACAGACACTTCTCCAAAGAGGACACACAGATGGCCAATAAACATATGAAAAGATTATCAAGGTTACTAATCATCAGAGAAATGCAAATTAAAACCACAATGAGATATCACCTCACACCTTTCAGAATGGCTGTCATCAATAAGTCAATAAACAAGTGCTGGCAAGGATGTGGAGAACAAGGAACACTCCTGCATGATTGGTAAGAATACAGATTGGTGCAGCCACTGTGGCAAGCAGTATGGAGATACCTCAAAAAATTAAAAACACAACTGCCTTATGACCCAGTGATTCCACTCTGGGAATTTATCCAAATAAACCCGAGACACTAATTTGAAAGAATATATGCACCCCTATGTTCACTGCAGCATTATTTACAATAGCCAAGACTGGAAGCAGCCCAAGTGCCCATCAGTAGATGAGTGGATAAAAAGCTGTAGAACATTTATATAATGGGCTACTATGCGGCTGTGAAAAAAGAAGGAAATCCTACCTTTTGCAACCGCATGGAAGGACTTGAAGAGTATTATGCTAAGTGAAATAAGCCAGTCAAAGAAATATCATGTGATATCACTTATATGTGGAATTTAATGAACAAAATAAACTAACAAAATAGAAACAGACCCATAGATTGAGAGTAGAGATGACAGCTGTCAGAGGTGAGTAGGGTTGGAGGGCTGGGTAAAAGTTGAGGAGATGGAGCAAAAAAAAAAAACCCTCACTGACACAGACAGCAGTCTGGTGATTACCAGAGGGAAAGGGGGTGGGGGAAGGCAGGATTGCCAGCGAGGGTAAGGAGGGGGGAAATGGTGATAAAAGGAGACTTGACCTGGGGTAGTGAACACACGATACAATATATAGATGATGTATTATAGAACTGTACACCCGAAACCTATATAGTTTTTAATCAATTGTCACCCCAATGAATTTACAATAAAATCTTTTTTTAATTTTTGAGCACCAACCAATAGAGAAAATAGCAAAGATGATTTGAGTATTGCATAAAGTGTAATGCGATTAGCTCTTGACTGGCAACGGTTTTTTTCTTCAAGTCCCTCAGTCTCTATGGTTGGGAAGAAGGGGAGAAATCAAAAGAAATCTAAACAAGTGGACAAGAGCAAGCTGAGAGCAAAGGTGATGGACGCTGGAAACAGCAAGCCGCTAACAGTGGGTTATCAACACTTTTTAAAGGTCCATTTAAAGTAGAGTAAAGAACCCTGGCCAGTGTTGCTCGGCTGGTTGCAGTGCCATCCTGT